TGATGATGGTATAGAATTGAGTGTAGTTGGGTATATTTATACATTGTTGGGTATAATAGGATGGGTTTTGGTCTGATTGGATGTAATAGGATGGTGTTGGATATAATTGGGTGGGATTGGTTGTAGTTTCGTGGTATTAGCTGTAGTTTAGTGATGTTGGGTAAAATTGGGTGTAGTTGGGTATACTTGGATATTGTTGGGTATAATTGTATGGTGTTGGGTGTAACTGGGTATAATTGGGCGATCTTGCATGTAATTGGGTGGTGTTGGGTGTTGTAGGCTGTATTCGGATTGTGTTGTCGCTCCTTGTGTCAGCAATTCTCCAGCTGTAGTTCAGTTTCTGCAGATGTCTGGAAATAGTGTTCAGTGGTGTCCTGTGTTTGGGTGGTGTTAAGTGTAGGTTTGGGTTGTTGGGTGGTGTTAGCACTGCTGATGCTCCAGTGGTCTCCTTTGTTTGGGTGTAATTGTGTGTTGTAGGGTGTAGTCGGGTGGTGTTAGTGCTGCTGATGATTCAGTGTTTGGGTGGTGTAGGGTGTGTTTGAGATTTGTAGGGTGTAGTTGGTGATGTTGGCGCTATAGGAGCTCCAGAAGTGTTCAGTGGTCTCCTGTGTTTGGATGTAGTTGGGTGTAGTTGATTGTTTTTGGGTAGTGTAGGGTGTTGTAGTGTGTAGTCCAGTGGTGTTGACGCTCCAGGTGCTCCAGCAGTGTTCAGAGGTCTCCTCTGTGTAGATGAAGTTGATTGTAGTTGAGTGTTGTTGGGTAGTGTAGGGTGTAGTTGAGTGTTGTTGGGTAGTGTAGGGTGTAGTTGGGTGTTGTAGGGTGTAGTTGAGTGTTGTTGGGTAGTGTAGGGTGTAGTTGAGTGTTGTAGGGTGTAGTTGAGTGTTGTTGGGTAGTGTAGGGTGTAGTTGAGTGTTGTAGGGTGTAGTTGAGTGTTGTTGGGTAGTGTAGGGTGTAGTTGGGTGTTGTAGGGTGTAGTTGAGTGTTGTTGGGTAGTGTAGGGTGTAGTTGGGTGTTGTTGGGTACTGT